TAGTTAATTATAATAAATGCCTGTGCATAAAAACAAATAGATCTGATTCAAATTATAAATATAAAACTTTTCTAAAGATAAACGTATTAATATAGACATGAAATCAAAAAAAAATTGAATGGCCATTCAGTTATAAACATATAATAAATATTTTTATCACGTTGTTATTTCTATAAAAAATACGATAATTATATTTTATACAAGGGCATATTTCTCAATTGCAAAAAAAATTCATTACCGATATGTAATTTTATTTATTTAGAGACGTTATTTTTTTCTGTCGTTTATTCTTGTTATTTTAAAAATCATGCTGTTCACTCGATTTTTGTAGGGTTAATTTATGACATTACATAGTAATGAATAGTTAAATTATACACACAGGTATACAGAAAGTAAAAATCCTCATTGATCGCGAACCCTTGGAAGAATACCTGAAGATAATTCAGACGAGTTGGGAGATAGTAAAACTGGGTATAAATTCAGGTTGCAGAGGTCTTTATCGCAGCAAATCCGCGAGAGATAGATGCCTGGCTTGCTGTTGCAGAAACGGGGTGCTTCCGGCGGCAGCCAGTTGCTTCGATCGAGGCACCTTTTACAACATCACAATCCTGCTTTAATCCGAAAAACTCGCGCATCGATCTTGATTGATATGCCGAAATTCAGAAATTATACATGTATAGAGACATTTTCTTTTTGTGAATGATATGTTACAAGTCTTGCGCCGATTAATTTATAGTTTAAATTTTAAAAGCATTAATTAACTATCTTTTACAGAAATATAAAAATATTACAGAAATATAATTTATATTAGCATATTTATATTATTATTAATATAAAATGAATTTTAATGTAAAAAAAACTAAGGTTTGGCTTTTTAACCCAAGAATTTTATTATTTCTTCCTCAAGAAACTACGATTTACTTATAATGTTATAAACTGCAAATTTCTGGTTTTCCTTTGCGTTATAATTCCAATTTTCTACGATATGCATATATTGATTTTACACATATATTGATTTTCTACAATGCAGTATAATTCTATATATTTATATAGAATATTTATATTTATTATAGTTTTTACGTAATAAAATGTCTTTAAAAAGTGGTATTTCTTGTTCTATTTTATTTATCTAAAAAATAAATAAAAATGTCTGCGACTCCCTCTTTGACTTTAATTTATTTTTGTTAGATCGATGTATTTTGAAATTTCAACACATACGACGCGAATTCGCATTTGCGACGCGACACGTCAATTTATTTTGCATTCATGCGATCGCATATAAAATTGCCTCGTGCTGCTTTCACGCTATGGCCGGATCAAGTAATCTCGGTCGCGCTATTTTCAATGCGATCTCCGGCCGAATTATCCGAATTATCCGTCTGGCGCATTAAGCATTTAGGAGCCGTCCGCACGTCTGCGACCTCAGATTGTCGCATTGGTCGGACTGTCTCGGTCGATCCTGTTTGATTTTAAGAGTGCATCGTTTTCAAATCGGGATCTTATAATTTTGACAATTATTAAAATATAAATCCATATCGCGTCTTCGAGATTCTGTCGGAGTGTGTAATGCGTTTACAAAATTCAAAAGTACACACGATTGACAGATGAAACAAAAAATTTCTCGAGACTAATAAGTATCAGTATAATTAAATATTTATTTTTGAAGAATAAACAAAAATTAAATCAGAGAAATTATTCCAAATGTAACAGAAAAAAAATCCGAGTAATAGTTCCTATTTAAAAAGTCAAAGATATCAGAAATAACTTATATAAGTCACAATAATAACTTATATAAGTCATTATTAGTTATTATTAAACTACACATTTTAAGAATAGAATATGTAACTATTTTGACAACAAATCTTATGCTTTGTAAAATCATAAAAAGATACTGCAATAGAGAAGTTGAATTTTATATTAAGTTCTTATATAAATTATAAACTTTCTATATGTACATAAATATAGTCTCATAAAAACGCGTATAAAAAATTTTTTTATTTATATAAAATTTATATCTTATGTATTGATAGAACGTTTCCAGAAGTAACTGGTAAACAATATATCTAAAATCAAGAAAATATTTATATCGTGTAAATACAATGGGAATAGATTAAAATAATATACACTACATCACACTGATTTTATAAATTACACAACATATTTATATAAACTATCGATTTAAAATGGAAATTATAGAAATAATAAAAATGATGAAATTAAATGTTTAATATTTCTGAAATGATATTGCGAGACTTCTGCATAGCCACACAATATATTAATTACATATCCTCTATAACATTAGATTTTCGTCCTATATAATATACCATCGAGCATCATCCATGATAAAGAAAATGTCGATCTTCATAAGGTCGGAGGTCGAGTTTGCAGTATACTTCAAACACATATTGCGTTATCTTTTCAACTGTTGACCTTTTCGATCATGGCGAATGTTTGCAAGCTTTTCCAAAGCTATTGTAAATTTAGATAAATACACTTGTACATCATTTGCACATAAAGATACCAATAAAATTGCTCTGTAATGTCAGATGATAATAACGAATAAAATTGCAAAGCTTGAGAATTAACTTTTCATATTTGTAGAATTACAGTCTTTGGTATATTACACAATTTTTAAAGAGACAGAATTTTAAATTAGAATTGCAAACATATATTATTAAAATACAGATTTAAAAAGCTTAAATGATGTAGTTAAAGATAATGAACATTTAAAATATAATTCCACAGACATAATCCTGTATAATGTTACAGTGATTTTTTTTATAACAAGTACTTTTCATTATAATTGTTCCAAATAAAATTTGAAAGATTAAAGAAAGGTTATACAATACTTTTGTCGTACAATACTTTTATCTAAGTAAAGTTATATTGTCCTTTTCTTTCTTTTTTATCATTCACTCATAAATGTTTATTTCAGAATAAATTCAAATTAGATATCTATATAAAAAGTTTCATTTTAATATTTCGCATAAGTATTATAATACTTCTTTTTTATATTTATAAGGATTAAATTTATATAAATATATCAAATCATATAATTTTTATAATTAAATTATATGATTTGATATTCTAAGTAATTATTCTCGGTTTGTCAATTATTCAAGTAACAATATCATCAAAAGATCTTTTTTTCTTCACTTTATACTTCTTAAAAAAAACATTAAATTGCATTGACTAATACGTGTCACATTCGTCATAATAAAAATTCATTCATCCATTATAGTATTTAAATCGATATTTGGAACAATTGTTGAAAATGCATCGTATAAATTTCATTTTTAGAGATACCCATTCGTATTTTCTATAATGCATTTAAAAAATGACAGCCTCTAGTTACAACAGTGATGCAGTGTCGTCTCATCTGTTTGGATTGAATTGAAATTTGTATATGGCTACCCCCACGCTTGCGCGTAAGAAACTTCCTCGACGTATTCGAAATCGATACCGCGGAAGTAGGGAAGGTAACATCGAATTTCGCCCCGAGTTTGCCCTGCGATCGATCGCGACCAGAATTTCCTTGGCTCATAACAATCGAACTTAAAGTTTTGCCACGCATCGCAGCATTCTGTAGCGTTACCAACGCGACGACTAACCGACAACAATAATTCGTTTCCGCCGAAAAGGGCGCTAATCATGGCCCGGGCGAGAGCGCGGAGTGGAAAACCGGCTAAATGTTCATTCGTGGAAACCAGAGGGCATCGATCGCAATGTCGAATTAAGTGAAACCACCGAAGGCCGTCGTTCAATAGATATGCTACACGGAATTTCTCACGAATGATCAATGATCTGAACCGTTAAACGCATAAGTTTCATATGTAATAAACATTAGCGTAAGAAAATTCTAAGTTAATACTCTAGCTATTTAATATTTCGATAATGATCCATCAATCAGACAGGTGAAGATGTCTCTTAAGGATCGTTAATTTAAAATTTAACAAAAAAATGCTAAAACGAACTAAGTTCTATCGATATAATAAAATTTTAAAAAATATATACATATATATATATCTATATATATATATATGTGTGTGTGTGTGTGTATAATGATAAAAAATAGAAATTTATAAAAATAAGAATTAAAAATACATCATTTATATTCATGTGTGTAATTTTTTTTGGGATACGCACGCGCGTGTATATTATCTATAAATTTAAAATTTTGTAATAAATTCTAAAAGAAAAAATGTTTATAAAATATATTTATAAAATTCTCGACAAAATATAGAAATATATTTTGAAGGTAAAAAAATCTATTAACGCGAACAAAAGCTTATGGATGTATGAAAACATAATTTAATTAAAAAGGAATATAATTAAATGTCAAGAGAAAATATGTAAACATTTAAAATAAATTTATGCATTAATAAGTTAATAATTGTAAAACAAATAAAATAAAAAAACAACTTAATAAGAAAAAACTTTTGAAACAATTGCATATCTAATTACACAATTTTGTAAGTTTTATATTTACTTGATTGTACAGTGTTGTCGTAATGTATTATAATCTATCAGCTTATACAATAAATATTGCAGATAACGCGAAGAATCCGGATTTGTTTTATTGGAAAAATTTAAAAAAACCTGCGCTAATATTAGTGTCATTGATCGCTTACTAACATCGGTCCAGACTATTCGATTCATTATATACCATCAATTTATGTCAATTATGAATGTGTTGAACCTTTTTTAGAACGAATTATACAGGTTTTGCTACTAATTGATATTGTAATAAATCATTTTTTTAATATTCATAGTCTGACCTTAATTGATTAATCTTCTGAAAACTAACAAATTAAATAATAAGGTTTAGTAGTGGAGAAAATAAATAATTTATGGAAAATTGGAAGAATTTGCCGGTGTCCATCAAATCCTATTTGATTGACAGCAATCTATCGGTGATCAAGAGATGAGCCAATAAAAAAGGATTTCGAATGTAAATCGCGTATATGCTTATAAATAATATTAACATGCAAATACGTTACCTTCGAGCATACGAAATGACGTTATTTTTCAGGCTCGTACTGGCAAAACAATAACCATCGGTTTCGCAAGTGTAATTTGTTTTCGAGCATATATCGCAATAGCACTTCAGATTTCCTAAAATCAAAAGAAATGTATTTAAGTTGTATAAAATCTAGGAAAAATTTTAATTATCTTATTTTCTTATATAAAAAATATATTTTTTTCAAAGTTTTTATTATTAGATTAGATATCATGCTTTTCCATAATTTTCAAGTTTTTATTTTAAAGTTAAGTAGACAAAACGTTAGCGATGCCAATAATATTAAATTAACAACCGATTTGGGACGGTTACGATAACTGTGATTAATTAGTGGCCCCTCAAAATAGAAGTTATTTTTGAAAACATTTTTAATAAGGAACACCAGAAAAATAGTAAAATTCCATAATCAATATTTAATTTAATAATCATAATTCGATTTTATCATCAATTTGATAATAATTTTTTAATAAACAATGATTGTCGATTAAAATGTTCTGGCAGTTATTCAGGACATTGACCTTGACAGGATATATTAAGACTCACCTTATCTCTCCCCCCCCTCCCTCCCTTGCTATGGGGCGCACGACTTTCTACGCGAAGCGACTTCCATCTCCTCCCCTGTTACGGGGTGCACGACTTTCCACGCGAAGCGATGATTTTTTTGGTTTATAATTGTTAGTTATTTTAATATCTATTGGTTAAAAAATTTTTTACTATTTTTCTCGTATTCCTCGCTAAAAATGCTTCCAAAAATCACTTTTATTTTGAGGGCCATAGTTATCGTAATCGTGTCATGGATTTGATTAAACTAAGTATTATGAATAATTACATACTTTACTTTTTTTTTAAAGTTTGTGAAATTATAACTTCAGAATTTATTTTAAATTAGATATTACCAAATAGATATTACCAAAATTAATTTCTTTTATTAATTGTATTTTTTTAAATTTCTTTTATAAATACACGTACAATTATTCTATGTCATAATTTGTTCAAATATTGTTATTGGTTTATAATGATATAATCACATCAATAAATATTAATGTGATCATAAATGTACATGGATTAATATTTTCCTATTTTCCTTTTCTGACGTAGACTTTTGCTATTAAGTATATATATTATTTGACGATATCGAATTCTAGAAGTGAAATAACTTTCGCGAAAGAACGCTTGCATAGTTCAGTATGGAATGAAATAAATATAGAAAGAAAGATATTCTCATGAAACGCTACATATGGCACTTGTCACAATTGAGAGAGGCAGTTTATTTTACGATAATATAACATCGTGAGTTTTGCAAATATTGACACACAAATTTTAAAATACATTAAATACTTATCAATTCAAGTTACCCTTTGAGATAAATTTAAAAATTCTTACAAGCAATGTTTAGTATGTAGTCAATTCAAATCATCAGAAACATTTAAAAAGGAGGATACTAAAAATCCACAAATTCAAATACTGAAATTATTGAAATTTTACAATAATCAATTTGAAAATTGTATTATGTTTAATTTATATACAAAAATACGCGTTTAAAATATAACAAACTATAATATATAAGATATAAAAATCGAACACTAAAGACAAAACCAAGAGATTTTTAAAATATAGAAATTTCAAAAGAATATAGAAATATATATATATATATATATATATATATATATATATATATATATATATATATATATATATATATATATATATATATATATATATATATATATATATATATATATATATATATATATATATATATATATATATATATATATATATAAATTTGACAATATTATATCAATTGATAGTCTTGATACTCTTTATATGCTTTTTGCTTGCCAAAATGAAAAGAAGAAAATAAACAACGCGTAAAAAATAACAGAGAAGAAAACCTTAAGAATAATTACATATATATTGCTACTTTATAGAAATTAATGTACATCTGCAATGAATGTGCGAAACTTTAGCATTATGTGTTATCATAACTTCTATTTGTATAATTATAATACGAAATGTAATTTTTATATATAATAATATATTAATATTCGCATATTATATTTATTAATTTTATATACACGATATAATAATAGATACTGTTATAAGATACATATTTAAACAAAATTTTATATGTCAAAGTTTAAGAAATAAAAAATCTAGTCAAATTGTAAATATTCACACACACGCGCACATGCAATAAATTCCTATATACATATCTTAAATGTGGTTGAAAGGATCCAATACATTTCCTTCATGAGTATATATGTTATTTACTTTATCATAAATGAATTATAATTTCTTTTTGTAATTTACTAACGCAAAATTTAATTATTATAAAGAATAACAAATGCTATCTGCATTAGTACTAATAAAAAAAATATAATATGCGTTTTAATCCACAATTATTGTTTTTACTATCAATTAATATAACAGTTTTGTGATAGGAAAAGTACTTTACCTATTAATAGATAATTAATTCAAGTGATACATAATTAATTCAATATGGTCGTGTTGCCGTCACACGATTTTTTTAAATCTAATTTACAATTCAGCACTTAATATAAAAAAAACACTGTCGCAATCTTAAATTCCGCACTTATAAAACGATCGTGTTTGAAAATGCAAAATAATGTTTCTATGCAATGATGTTCATAAAATTTTGAACTTTATATTTAACATCAATTGATGACATTAATATTAATTTTCTAATTAAATATTGATATCCATTAGAACTGTTTAAAATTTTATTTAAGTAAAATAATAATATGCATTGTGATACATGCACTCAATATTTTATGCAAATATGAATTGTAAACAAATTTCTCAAAACTGAACATTAAATAAAACAGTAAATAAAATCTCTTACAATTACTTTATATTATGTAAAGAGCAATGTAATTATTACTTTATATTATGTAAAGAGCAATGTAATTATCACATTTTTAATATTAAGCGACAAAATAACTACAGATTTTGCAGAAGAAAACCGGTCAATCGTACAGAAAGTGTCAATAGTAATGCAATTATCACGATGTTATGCAATTTATCGTAATAAATTCTTTAATGAAACTGAAATTATATACACACACACAAACACACACACACACACACACAATTTCCTGAAAACTTTTCGTAATATTCTAATTTTTAACATTCAATATAATGTTAATTAAATATAAGTTAAAGTTTAATTATTATTTAACTAATTTTAATTTGAGATAATTATTTTAATTCTTCAAAATCTTCCTTTATTTTTTATTTTTAAATCTGATTTAATAAATCAGATTTAATAAATCTGTAATTAAATTTGTTATCAAATTTTTATCGAAAAAGTGACAGAAAATCTACTTTATATTTTTCAAAGAAAATTCTAATTAAATAAAAATATAACATCTTTGTGATACAGTATGTTAATTTTTCCTTCTTAATAAATTTAATTTAACTAAGGATCTTATTAGAGACACTATTGAATAATAAATTATTCATCAATATCAAAAACATAAATTATAGTAGAAATAATTTGTTACAGCCGACAACCTTTTGTGGAACAATTTTTGGAATAATATGTATTTTTATTATAATGTCTCATGACAAGAGAAATAGGGATGAATATTTTTTTCGCTATTTGATATCGATCGAAATCGCGTCATTTAACCTCCCTCGTAGGAGAAAATATTATAACTTCGACGTTTTACTAGACAGTAAGTTGACGTGCTTGTTAAATATTATCTACGTATTGCATTCGATCACAGATTACAACTGAAAGATGTATATGCATGTATATGATAAGATATATATATATATACACATATTGTTGAGAATATGGCAACATTGTGCAACGTATAACGGTATTTATCAGACGTTTTGCGCTAATATGGTTTGATACGTTACTATAAATAATAATTGTTTGTCCTAGATTTTACAATGCTCTTACAATTACTATTGTATAAAGCTAAAAATCACATTTAAATTTATTTAAAAATGTAATATATGTACACTCTGTCACATATACACATAAATAAAATAATAAAATAGAAACTTTAAAATATTATATATTATTTATATATTATTATATTATAAGTATTATATTATTATAATATTATTATGTTATTTTATTTTGTTAAAAAATTTATGAATTTCCTTTATGTTTGGCTCATCTACAGCTGCTTTTACTAAAGCATCTTCTATAAGAGACATTAGTCAATATTTGCGTTTACATGCGCACTGCGTTAGGTCATTAACATCGTTACAACGATAGCCAGTCCTTTCCTCGAATCTTATGATCATTTTATCAAACAACCTGCAAACGCTAATGACCCGTAAGAATCTGCGGAATAACAATGCATCGATAGAACGAAGAAATGACTGTGCATGCCGCTTTGACTATCACTTGCAAGAACATCAGAGCGTGTGCTGCTTTTTTAATGAGATTTCAAGAGCTTGATTTACATGCACGACAATTACCAAACATTGAATCCATCAAAGTGGAACCGAGCATTGTAAGAGGAAAGAATATAACGAATATACTAGAGAACGAATAAAGTATGCGAGGGATGATTCAGAAAGATGAAAAGTATATATACATATGTACTTGCGTATCTAATTGTAAGAGATATAGAAACATGACAAGAGCACCTTTCATTATATCATATTGTTAACTCGAGAATGCTTCTGAACGAGATCTTTCTTACTGCAGCAATATAAAACAAGTATCAAGCATTTTTTAATATTATTTACATAATTCATTACTTATTTATATTAATATTTATTTAGGTAAATACTTTCTAGTTAAGCAAAAAGAAATATATTCTTGTTAGTAAATTGTGATAATAAAAATTCTTTAAAAGATTTAAATTAAATAATTTAATTATTGTACTATGGATAATGTAATTATTATAGTAAATCAATTTGATCGTAATAAATTAACAATATTATAATTAATGTTGAAAGCAGTAAATTAATAAATAGTAAATGTTATAAATTAATTTCTTTTCTCATTATACAAGCCTCATTATAAATATTAAAGTTGTAAATGGTATAAATTTTTTTCTGATTATGAATATATAAAATGTATACAAATTCAAATTAATTATATTCATAACAAGTAAAATATTAAAAATTAATCTTATTATTATAATATACACTTCTAATAAAAGTAGCTAACAATCTATATTTATGATTGTTAAATAAATATAATTAATTCACTCTGTGTTTCAGAAAATATAATTTCTCACGTGTCGGGGAAATAATAATACACATATCTATTAGATGCTGCTTAAAAGTTGGTTTACGAATACAAATAAAAATTGAATAGTATTTTCCTGCAGATTTGTTGATTAGAACTAGACAGCAAAAAAAGCGATGTACACAGATCTCGGAATATATCTTAATTAAATATGGATATGAGATACGAATGCAGATGAGGTAGCGATATGTACATATATGATACATAAATACGTAATATAAATAAATTTACGTGATCGCTGAGTTCACATTTCAAAAATAAGTTTGCTGAAAAATAATTCTCATTTGTCATATAATTATTTAAAATGTTACGTATCTACAGCAAATAATTAAATATTAAAATCTCTAGACATGAATCCTTTCTTAAATTCTGTCGTAAACTTAAGCAATATCACGATTGAATATCTTGATGATAACAGTACGATAACAAAATATCGATATCAAATTAAAAATATATTGTTTATACTTTATTTAATGTATTTTGTGTGACAAATAAGAGACTTTAAAAAAATTTTTAAATTATTATGATAAATCTTAAAACCTCTAGACATTAACCTTTCCTTGAACTCTATCTTAAACTTAAGCAATATCGTTATTGAAATACTTTGAGAATATATATATATATATACATACAAAAACACATTGCATTAACAGAATTTCGATATCGAATTAAAATTGAAAATAAATTATTATTCATTTCATATAAAAAAGAAATTATCATTATCTAGAGTAATTTATATATATATATATACATATATTAGGTGTTGGAATTAATTCGTAGCGTTTTACAAGTGATGGGAAGTACTTTCATTAATGTATTTTTTAATGCTCATGTGAAATAAATAACATTCTTTCATTAAAAAACGCTACGAATTAATTCCAACACCTAATATATATATATATATTTTTGCAGATATTTTTAAAATAAAAGTAATATAACATATAGAATTTCTCTGACATCATATTTTAATTATTTTATTTTTATTCTCTTATTCATTTAAATTACCAAATACATTAAAATAATTTCAATATAAAATGACGATGTTGATTTTATATTACTTAAAAAATGCAATTTTAATTTTGAAATTATTTTGCAAATATTCTTTTGTAAATATGTTATCTGAAAATTTAAGAACACGCAGTACAAAAATTTAGCAATCTAAAAATTTCAAAGATTATAACAATGCTCACATACAATAAAGAATAATGGTTATCTGGACAATAAATAATAGGTCCAACTGCTAACATGCTTAATAATTCTCACGTCGGAATGAACACATGAGGCAGTTGTTTAACATAGTAAACAAGAATAATTACGCGAGGATAACCATCTTATCAAGCAATTCTATTTCTGAATTAAATAGATAATTAAGTCATGCAAAAAACAATATCTTTTAAAATACAAATTTTTCATTGGAATAAACAATTCTATTTTTTATAATAATTTTGTATAATTGATTCTGCTACTAATTTTGATTTTTATTTATGTTAATAATTAAGAATTAGTTGTAAAAGATGACAATTTTAATCTTTTTATAGTTTGACAAATAAGTCAAATTATAAAGATAAAATGCATGTACTATCATAATAAACAAATTTTACAAAAAGAGAACATCACATAAATGAAATTTATAAGACAATATTGAAAAAATGCAAAATGTAATAAATCAAACAATCATCATCTTAGAATAATAGAATACAATATGATTGGTTGGTAGCTTTTATTTTTCTTCTTCTTATTGTAAATTTCTGTTGTAAAACGAAGCATTATGATTTGTAATTATATTATCCAGTTATCTTAAGATTTGTTTTTGTTTTTCATTCTTATTTTAATCTCACAGTCGAATAATATCTTTCTACTATAAAAAGAAATTCTCTATATTATACTTAGGATCCGAGAATTAAACCTGAATCTTTCTTGATTGGTGCTTGATAGACTGCTCTATTATTAAGCTATCCAACGCCCCCAGTATACCGGAACACTGAAGGGGTAAATCGTGCTCCGATGCGGCATGGCTCTTGAAAACAGGGTCGCGAAGAACGTAAGAACCGAATGCACCGGCTGCTCACCCTTCCGCATGCTTTTCAGACCTCGTGCAGCAACGAGATTAAACGGCCCTTCTGTACATCACGGCGTGGCACGTTACTTACGCAACGTTATGTGCGCGCCGTTGAAAGGGAGAAAGAGGGAGACGAGCGAGATGGAGAAGCGAAACGGTGACTGGAACGGAGGGACAGAGGAAGAGACAGAGACGCGCGAGCTACATAGAGAAACGATAAAACGAGTACGAGAGACGAGGCTCGAGAAAAATATAGAAAGAGAAAAGAAAAGACTTCACGCACACACGCACGCAGAACGCACACCGTGGCCGAAGAATCGTCTACAAAGTACAACGCGTGGGACAAACAGAAGTGCGTCAACAAAGAGGCTCGCCGAAATCATTATGTCTTTTCTTTTTTAACATCGTGATTTTCCTTCATTCGTATTGTCTTCCAAGCTGACTTTTAAACGTGACTTAAAAATAACTTTGAATGCAAGTTTAGTTGTTCAGTAAAGTCAAAGTGTTCAAGTATACACATATTCAATTCCTTTTTTGTCATAACAGTGACGGTCGACGATCTGAGAGTATATATCGAAGGTTAACAAGAATCATTTTTTTAGAATGGATGTATTCCTTTTTTATTATACATTCCCCTTCCTCAATTTCAATACTTTTAATTTAAACTTTAATAAACTGTTTAAATTAATTCGTACAAATGTTATTAAGTTTTCTGAAACTGAATTGAACGTATCTATAATTTTTAAGTTATAAATAATAGAAAATAAAAAGTTTTTAATGTAATAAGTATTATTAATTTAAATTAAGAATTAAACTTTTTAAAATTTTTAATTAAAGTTTAATTACTTCTTAAAATTAGCGTAATTAGATGTTGCACAGAATATAAAATATATAATATCGAAAGAGGCATGAGTTTACGACTTAAAATAAATAAAAATAATAGAAGAAATTGTTTTCGTATAAGGTCTCGTTTTCAAGAAAAAAAAACTTTGAAAGTTAATCAAGTACGTATGCACTTGACTTATATTTAACGTAATAATATGTAATGTGATAACAGACGTACTGTATAGTTTTTTTACTATCAGAATTAACTGATTAAATTAGTTGACTCTTAGGAGCAGTTAAGTGAATTTGTGTCAAATGAAGAATAATTTTTTTTATTTCTTACACACTTATTTCTTATTTAATTGAAATATTGTTGAAAATGTTGGCCGTTGATATATGAAGTTGTTCTATGAATTTAATTAGAATAGATTGTTTCTCTCTCTCTCTCTCTCTCTCTCTCTCTCTCTCACTTATTCTAACATTTTTTTCTCCTTTTAATTCTTCTTTTAAACGTAAGAATAATTTTACATTTGATTAATTTTAAAATTCTTTTCCTCGAAAACAAAATTTCATTTGAAAAACAATTTATTCTAACTCTATTATTTCAACTTATTTTAAACTATAAGTCATTACTAGCTGTACCTCCTGTATAATATTTTGACTAAGTCATGTTATTTCAATTAAATTTTGTCAACATATTTTTTGCTGTCAAATTCAAATTTTATAAAAGACTTTATAAACAAATTTTCTAATTGGCATAAACAATTACAATTTTCACATCTTGAATCTACATTGTCACATTAACGCATTGAATAAACGTGACTTTGTGTTTAAAACTATCGCGTTCAAAATATATTAACTATGAAAACTCTTTAATCTCTGACAAAGTATTTTTACGAGATAAGAATTTCCACTTTTCCAGTGAGAAGAATATATACCTGCACCGTTCACAGGATACGACGCGTGGAGCAAATAGAGGAGCGCCAGGGCGAGGAGGCTCGCCATGCCACCGTCGCGGACGCCTCTCATCTTTCCTGAGCTTCCGCGGGAGCAGCCGGTGGTCCGCCGTGGTGATCGCGCAATCCGCTGTCGCGGATCCGCGAGGAATCGTTCTTGCGACCGAGCGTCGAAGACCGCCGGCCTTGGCCGCCGCGGCTCAACGTCGATCGCTGGATCGCGCGTGAGACTCGCGGACGGCGACGACCGTTGCCGCCGGCCACGGTATCATCCTCCGGCGACCGCGGGGGTGAGGCGAGGTGCCGCCTCGCCGATGAGACACTTGTCACCGCGGTCCGTGCCACTGCCGATGCCGCTGACTCGTGGCGCTCACTCGCATAAGAGCGCTCGCGTGAGAGCACTTGCCGCTTCTGGGAGCGAGCGCGACTCGCTATGCGTACCGCACGCACTACTCTGCCTTGTTGTTTTCCTGTAACCGTTGTTGTTCGAGCGTATATCCCGTACAATCTGTACACCGTTCATACATTGTCCGGAGCGAATGTCACTCCGGCCACACCGCTCGCGATTACTCCGCCAATCGAATTATGTGCGGAGATTGTCTCGCTTGAGACATTAAAAAGAAGGCGACGATTTTTAAAGATTCGGAGCGATTATTTCGCACGAACGACGATTTCTCAGATACACCACGTCGTTCGACGTCGCCGCTGCAGAAGGCGCGCCGCCATTTTCCTACCGACAGGCCCGGCCTATTGCAAATTCTCTTCGACGAACACGCCGAGAAACACGCTCGTGTAATCAAAGAATTTCACTAGTAATCCACGAGAATATCACTGATAATCGTACATCAACAGACTTAAAATTTGTGAAAACAACGCTTCGTCGTGCATCATTATCGCCGTCGTCGTTGTCGTCGGCACTTCGCGACTTCGGCGCAATCTCGACACAACTGTCATGCGGATCGCTCGCTAGAGCTCTTCGAGCTGATCGTTGGACAGCGACTCGTGCTACTATTGTCGCTACTGCTGTTGCTCCTAAAGCATTTCATGAAACACGTCACTACCTTCCTCAGATTCGTATATAGCTGCTCCATTTTCGTAACTTCATTTTATGGGCGTATTGAAAATTAAGATAACGCGAAAATCGAATGAATTTTGATTGAAGTAATGACAATAATTATAAAATCTAAAGAAACATCTTCTATCTATTATATTATAATAAACAAAAATATAATATCTATTTGTTTCGAATTGACAATTCTTTAAAATATCGTAAAAATTGTACTTCGCGCATAGTTTGAACATTGGAATAATAAATAATTTAAACTAATTAGAAATACAGATACTCTAAAAACATTGTTAATATTTTATAATTTGTATTGAAATGTACGAAAAGTATAAAAATGCGCACTTAATTTTTTAATCGATCTGTATTACAATTATTAAAAAATTAAAGATAAAATTATAGATATAAGAAAAAAGATATTAGTTACAATTTTAACAAAAATTATTAAACAATCTGTTGTTAACGATTTGATTATCAAGCATAAGTTTTCACACTTTTCTTTTTACAATTTAAATTGCAAAGCACAATAAATTTACTTTTCTATCAGAAAATTTTTATTTTCCAACATAGAAAATACGAATCTAATTTGCAGATGTAAGTTCTTGCATTTAATATTTCAATATATTTTATTTCTTCATAAAATATGCCACGTTAACAGTAGGGATCATCGAAAAATTGATACATCACTGCCAATTTGCGCATGCGCCTTTTTTAAGATATTTTCAGTTTCATTAACATCAAAATTTTGTAATTTATAAAATAAGATAATTTGACGTTTGTTTCTTGCAAAAAATATTGTTACAAATTAAATATTTCTAAATAAATTCTTCAAATATTTTTAACTTGTTATACATATTTCTTAAACTGTTCAGAAAGTATAAATGGGGAAAAAAATGTGTACAAAACAAATTTGTCTCTTAATTCTCCTTTTAATAAAATTTTTTTCAGTTAGGTGTTATTTTTTTTAATGATTATTTGATAAATTAAACAAATATGAAGAATTAATCACATCAAATGACTTTTCTAAAAATGTATTTATAAACTTTTATGCTATATACTTAGAAACTATGCACAATGTATGCACTTATATTAGATGCAATTTACATATGTATAAATGTGAATGTATGATTAAAACAACATTGGAACTTTATAAAAAGTAACATTTGTTAATTATTATAATATGTTTATAAACTAAAAGAAATAATTCTTTAATAATTTCAAAAATAGTGTACAATATGTTATGGTTACGACACATTTATAGGAAATATAATATTAAAATACTTGATTTATTACATGCATCCAACTTGAAAAAAACATTGAACTTAAATTGATACATAATACTGCAAACAAATTTAATAAATTAATGAATATAAATTCTTTCCAAGTTTTATTCAAAATACTTTTCATGAATTCACGTAATCTGTATTAATAAATTATTTCGTAAATATAATAGAGTAAATATAATCAAATATATTCGAACTGACACTTCAAAAATGTATTACAAATTTGATTATCACAAAATGCGTTTCTTATAACGTAGTTAATATAATAGTAGTGATATGGAAATAAAAGCTGTAACAGATATATAGATTATATATAGATTACAGTATATATAGATTATAAAGAATTTAAAGCATCGAACAAACAAGATATGTAAGGCAAGATATTAATACAAATATTTATGTAAAAGAGTTTGCAATAATTATATAATGTAAATATAATAGATACAAGTCTAACTTATAACGATGATAATAATAAAGTAAATGTTTCTTTATTATATATATTTTTATGTCTAAATACGCGTTGGAATAATATGTATGGAATATATTTTTATTATAGTTAAAATTAAATTACCATTAAAATAATCATTTATAACACTTTAAATTCATCTTCATTTGATCGCAATTTGATATTGCATACATATTCTTTATTCGATAATTAATTGTGTTGAAATTAATATATAGTATATCTAAATAGATAATTATGGTCATAAATAATCGGATGAGAATTCAAGAGATTTCATAGTGTTTCTTTTTAGGCAATAATGCAGTCGACTATAATAAAATTGGAAATCAATTACAACATTCTAGCTAATTTTAACACCGAAACATTATAAACGCGACGGAACTCTTTGACTATTACCAAAAATGTAATTGCAATTTCTTTATAAATTAAAAGTTATTTTTAAAAAGTTGATAAAGAAAGATCTTAATAGTACTAAAGGAAATATGATTCTATCGTATCTGCGATAAAAACGTTGCTTTAATTACGTACGTTGAAGCCCGTTATTAAAATGATGTGAAAGTCAATTATAACAATTATACACTTTATACCAGAGTTGCAATTTATTTCTAGTTTAAAATTATTCAGTGCCGCATATCTATTTGTCTTACGTTACTATTTAATACATTTGTTTGTCATTAATTATTACTAAACAATTTGCTTGCCTTATACTTTTTCCTTTCAGAATGGATTATTCTAAGAAAGATATTATAAAATCTATTGAGATTTCACACTCATATTAATAACATATACGATAAAAGAAGTTAAAATTTATACAATTTTATATTTGATACATAACTATATGAAATATGTAATATGTTTTCTTCATATAATCTCTTTTAAGTATTCTAAGAGAATTAAACATAATATTTAAAATTTAAATAAGACGTCATAAAAAGATCTAGTTTTTCTTGGAAAGAACTTAATTTTATTTAAAAAAAGATAAACTTATAATGGCTTAATAATAATAAATAAAAATGAATAATAAAAGCTAAGAGTCAAATTTTTCGTATATTTAAATTCTTAAAAAATTATTCTGGCTAAACCTTCACATTGAGGTATATGTACAATAATTTTATTTATCACGCATACTTTAATATCGTTGTCAATTAAATAAGGATTATATAATATATACTAAGAATTTTGAATATAACGATCATTCATTGTCAGATTAATTTTTATAATCTATGGTATTAATTTAATAACAGAATGTGTGCTTGCACAATTTTACGGAATAACTCTACATGTTCAACTAATTTTATTATCATTATGGACAAATTGCGACCGATAATAATAGAAGAATGTAACTACGAAGACTGAAAGCATTGCATTATTGCGACTGAAAAGAGATATGAAGAAATAGGTCCACCTCTTGTGTAATTATAATTTGCAGAAATTGTATTTAACAGTTTTATTTTTATTAAATTTGCGTTAATTTATGTGTACACTGAGAATACAAATAAATCGAAATGTATGTGTTTTTAAGAATTTAAATATACGAAAAATTTGGCTCTTAGCCCTTCTGTTATTGATTTTTGTTTATTTAAAAAATTAAATTAAATTATGATAAACAAATACCTCAAATATATAAAATATTTTTGCAGTGCAATCTAATTGTTGTTTGTTGTCCTTCTAATTGTTAAAATATATTTCTGAAAAGACAAATTCCATGCCATGATATTTTACTTTTTTCTAAATTCTTCAATTATAGAAAGTAGTATAAGATTATATTTTAAAATATAATAAACATCATATGTAAAACTGAATATTATTTGCATCACGATGCGCAGTCTATATCGATATGTCATTAGGAGACAAACGTATCTATTCGTTAAAAATTAAAATAATGAAATTCAATAGCTACGTTTTACAAATGCATCTATGTTTTTGGATTAACTAAAATTATTGCAATAATTGTTATCATTTTTTATTAAATTAGAAGTATTGCTTGGTCCGTTTTTTTTTAAATTTGTGTCTGGCTACCCCATGCTCTAGAAATTCCTGATCTTGTGCGTTTTTTACCGATAGTTTGAACAATAAAACCGATCTTTTGCAATCGATCAAAATTCAAAATATTCCTTCCGTCGAAAATATAGGCTGGCTTCATCATATCTGCATAAATCTGCGTGTAATCTAATTCCTAAAAATGAAATATTTATTAATTCTTTCTTTACGTTATATATATATATATATATATGTGTGTGTGTATGTATGTATATTAAACGTATAAATAAATGCATAGAAAAATTAGACAGCATTAAGGATGAAGCCATTTTTATTATCTAGACAACACCCTCTTTTCTTACTTACGATAAATTCATCCCATTCGGTACATAAAACTATAGCATGAGTATTCTTCGTGGCGCTGTAAGCATCTTTATAAATACTGATTCTACTTTTTACATCTTTAGGATCGCTCGTTATGCTTGGATGAGTCAAGTCCTGAATAATCTGAGTTTCCTCAACCTGTGAAGCAGACAAATTGTACAAGAACTGTACACTCAGTCTATTACTGAATTTTTATTAAAATGCTTTTTAATTTTTATATACTAAGTACAAATCATTATCTGGTTTAAGAACACAACAATATAAAAAGTACAAAATACAAAGTTTATTGAATGAGGCATGATTCTTTTGTAATATTATATAATTTTAATGCAGAACAATTATATTCGTATTTTTTATTAATTATCAATTCTCTGATAAATTCTCTACATCAACTTTTTCAAAAATTTAAATTGCAATTTTTTCTATTATAATGTTGAATACAGAGGAAATTTAATATTTCTGTAAATAAAGTATATATAAGAAATATAATATCTATTAAATTAAAAAAATTTATCTATTAAATTAAAAAAATTTTTTTAATTTATATTAAATTACATATTTTAATAAAGTCTAGTTTTTTAAGTTAAAATAAGTTCTTTAAAAAAAAATTTTTTTAATTTATATCGAAATTAATAAAATATGAAACATAAAAAATTAATAAATACAACTTATGATAAACTGTAATGAAATTAAAGTATCTGTTATTAAAAATAAGTCTGATAGATCTTCATTTCTTCTATTATAAAAAAGAGAAAGAGCTGACCTTGGGATCATAAATGTGAAGAACGGCGCCTTCATCTAACAACGTCTTGGCGACATGAATTGCTGGTGATTCACGCGTATCTCCTGTATCTTTCTTGAAGGCAAAACCCAGCATAGCGATCCTCTTGTCTGTCACGGTGTTAAAAAGAGATTCTATGACCTTTGCGGAAAATCTGGACTTCTGATATTCGTTCATATCAATCACCTGTTGCCAATATGCCGCTACCTCGGGCAAATTTAAACACTCGCAAATATATACTAAATTTAGAATGTCTTTTTGAAAACATGAACCGCCGAAACCGACTGATGCACTAAGGAACTTGGAACCGATTCGAGAATCAAGTCCGATTGCTCGAGCGACCTCGGACACGTCGGCACCTGTAGCTTCGCACACTGCTGACAAGGAATTAATGCTAGAGATGCGCTGAGCGAGGAAAGCATTCGCAGCCTAAAATCAAATGAATATAAATGAATATTAAAATTTATTGTTGTACTTGAGATTATTCAAATTGAATTTTATTTGTAAGTTGTAAATTATTTAAATTTTTATATACAGGCGTATACCTAACATAGCACGTATGACATATGACGAAATAAAAATTCATTATGAGTCAATACTTGAACATACTACAAATACGATGAAATCATAGTTTCCTGAATATCTGACAACATCATTAAAATTATTTTTCTCTATTGTTCATTTTTATTAGTAAATATCATTTTGATAAAAATATTTAGAACTGCTATTTTCGTTGTATTAAATTTAAGTGTAAATAAATTACACTTAATGTGTAATTTATTTACACTTATACATAGTATGTTATGATACAATGCAATGAGAGATTTACACAGTTTATTTAACGGCACTGCTATTACTATAAGAATGTGAAATGTTCCATTATTCACCAGTTTCGACAGTTCTGAACTCCATGTGTTAGTCGTTAAAATTTTTTCTCTTGGAATCCAATGTTCATAAATTTGACATAATTCTTCGATAGCCACCTGCCCTTCTGGCGAATTTTCTCCGCCAATCAGTACTCGATCCGCGTTTACCAGATCTTCTATAGCAGTTCCTTCAGCTAAAAATTCCGGATTCGAAAGAATCTAAAAAACAATTATCTTAATATTCGACTAAATATAAAAAAAGACAAATCTCAACAAAAGTGCAAATTGATTATTACAATATGCGATAATAATAACAAACACTCGCTTGAACAAAAAATCGTGAATAATCGTGCAGTATGAAGCGAGAGCTTATCTTAACTGAACAACATTAATTTAAGTAACTATTAAACTATACGATTGCTATTGGCGATTTGACAATCTGTTAATTATAAACATAGCAAAAACGCAATAAAATTTTTAATACACTTAATACAATTGCAGATGTGTCGTATTGAATGTATTAATTTCAAAATTGCAACTTTATATTTTACAATTTCTACGCAACGTTATGTTGCAATGTCAAGAATATTTAAATGAATTAAAATAAAGTAAATATATTGAAAAAGATATAAGAGATCATGGAAAATAATTCATTCTAGAAAAGACAACTAAGAATTGTCACGTTTTTATATTTAAATTACAATTGTGAGAAATAAGTAATTACCTGATAAGAAACACCTGGCTTGTGATTGGCGCGGAGAATATTCATAATACTCTCGGCTGCTCTTACCGGTACGGTACTTTTTTCCACGACAATCTTATCTCCTGTTGCAACTTGCGCGATCATCCTGGCTGCACTTTCCACATATTTCAAGTCAGCTGCTCTTCCCTTACCATTGCCGAAGGTTTTCGTCGGTGTGTTTACCGAAATGAATATCAGATCAGCCTCCTTAATCGCTGTATCAATGTCAGTGGAGAAGAACAAATTCTTTCCACGACATTTTCCCACTACTTCGTCCAAGCCCGGCTCGTATATTGGTAACTTTTGTGAATTCCACTGCGCAATTCTTTCCTTGCTCTTATCAACAACGGTCACTTGAATTTCCGGGCACTTCAGTGCAATAACGCTGCAGGTGGGTCCACCCACATAACCAGCTCCAATGCAGCAGATTCTTCGTATTCTTGTCATTTTTGAATTGACTGTAATATTAATTGATAAACTCATTATAATTATATTTGAAGTTGTACATAAACAAAATCATGATTATAAAATATTATCATTAAAAATCTAATCAATTTTTAAATAAAAAAAAGAATGTACAGAATTACTTATTTGATTACCTCTTTAACTTATCTGAATTATTGAAGATAAAATGAAGCAAAAAGAAATAAATAACTTTTCCAGAGAGAATTTATCCTTCCTTCCCTTTACAATGATTATGTAATTATCAAATGGTAAATATACTACTTTTTTAGTATAATAATAATTTTTTATTATAATAATTTATTATATAATATTAAAAACACAAATAAATAAAATTACATGGCTCTATAATTTCAAATCATATAGTATTTATAAATAAATTAATCTTGATACATGCTTTGATAAGAGTAAAAGATAATAATAGAAACGTATGTTTTGATAAAAGTAATAGATAATAATAAAAATGTTTATAATATATAAACATTTATTTCACATTAATTTCACATTAAAACATTAACTCAAAAATTAATCACATAAAACAATTTATGCTAAACAATTCTTTTACACAATACAATATTAAATTAGATAAAAAAAAAGTATACAAGACAAGACTCCATATAAACCTAAAATAAAAATTACATTATATAAACATTATAATTACATTATAATGTTATTCTTGGTCTAATAAAATTCCAAGCTCCAAAAAAAGCTTCTTTTATCTTCATCACAACACATAAAATAATCTAAAATTTCATTATCCAAACGATACAAATGTCCGGAAGCTGATAAAAATTTATCTGCCTTTTTTTGATATGTGTCAAAATTAATGTCAACGAAACATCAACAAAAGTTTAAAAATTTTATCCACGTAACAAAAAACATTTTGTACTTGTGTTAAAATTCTTATTAAAATATTGTTAAATTTATAACAAGCATTAATTTGACATAACATGATGATTCTGTTATTGAAATATGCATTTTGTGTGAAATTGATATTCAACGGTTCCTAGTGTTATAAAATAACACTATAATATAAATAATATAAAAATAGCATAGTTTCGACACATAAATTCTAGGATAAATGAATAAAAGATAAATGTATGTGCTAATTTAACAAATAAAAAATAAATTTACTGAAGAAATATTCTACAATTTATTTCCAAGTTGTATTAAAGTGTTATATTTTTGTGTTAATTTTTACATACAATAATTGTGTTACTTTTTAATATATTCATCTTGTGTTGAATTAACATAAAAATTTGAATATACCTTTTAAAATACGTAAAATGTATTAAATTTAACACACAAATTTTTCCACTGTACACTTACATTTTATTTACTCCAATCATCATTTGGCAACGTCAAGAGTCTTTCATTTACATTCTTAATATTCAAAATATTACATATGGATTATCATAATACACAAAAATATATTCATATTTTTTAATTATCAGAAGATTAAAAACTATACATTTAGTTGAATATTGAAAAATAAACTGAAAAGTATTTATTCCTTTATGGAGCGTTTCGGAGTAGGATTGCCTGCTCCGAATCACTCGGAATGCTCCAAAAAAAGAATGAATATACTCCGTTTTGTTACCTGCTTAACTAAAATAATGAATAATTTTCTGATATTCAGCAGAAACGTGGCATGAAGACGGATGCAATGCAGAAGACAATTATAGTCTATCACAATCAAAGGGTAACTTCTACGATGGAAAAAAAATTGTTTATAAGAGAAAACCGCAATATGATGTTAAGTCGCGTTGCACAAATTTTTGTTATTCCAGATCCTCTGGACACTGTACATCCGTCATTTCATGATATCATACTATGAGAAGGAAACGTTGAGGCCGCAACAAGGCCGCATCATTGTGACCACGTTGCCATTTTAGAACATCACAATGGCGCATGCGTAAGTAAATGGCAACGCTGTTTCTATCCGAAAATCATTCGTCATGAATGATCACGATCATTTACAAGAGATCATTTTGAAAATATATATATATATATATATATATATATATATAAAAGTATTTATCAAAATATGAAAATTTCATTAATTATTACGTCTGAGTAACTTTATAAAATTTGAACTCTTTTATTGGTTTAAAAGTTTTTTAATTTTTTTTGTTTGTCTTGATTCTTATGTAGTATTGCGTTTTGTAGTAGATGCTTATTTGCAAATTTCATGAAAAAATAATTGCTATGTAAATCAAATTTATATACGTATACTAATAAAGCTCTGATTAATATATTTATGCAAAATTTTACGTTAGTCCAGTTATTCGTTATAATTAAAAGTCATTTAATTAAAACTACAGAAAAATATGATTATTGTCATATTTTTATTTTTATTTGCATAAGTCATTATCAAGTCAAATCAATTATTTGTTGTTTTGTTTTTTATAATTGATTTCAGAGCGTATTCACGATCAATATTTTTGGCTGATATTAGTTTTTTTAATTGATTTTTTAGCTGATATATTTATTTATCTGTTTATCACTATAAGGACCGATTATTCTACCTTTTAATAAATTTTACCTGTTGGGTAAGTAACAAGATTATCTAATCACATTTGGCACGTATTGCCAGATTTACCTAATAGGTAAAATTTACCAAAAGGTGGAACAACCCTAAGTTTAAAATAGTAATTTAATTAATCAATAAAATGTTAGACATATAAAACACTGTTAAATTAGTTGTTAAATAATATGTATAATATAAATGAAATATCAGCTTAATAGGAGATACTGCACTCAACATTATCTCAAAATAGCAAAACAAACATACATTTAAAGGTCCCTAGCCGATGATTCTTTTATCTCATATAAGGAAACGAATTTTCTTGTTAAAATACAGAGAATGACTGCATTTGGCAGAGAAAGCAGTTTTGCAACTATTGTAAAATTCTTCGATACGATATACATTTAGATCCATAAGAAATAAAAAGTAAGAACCAATCGTATTGAAAAATTTTACAATAGTTGCAAAGTTGCTTTCTTTGCTGAATGCAACTAATGTCATCGTCATCTGATTTTGTTACAAATGTTTCAAAGCATTTTTTAATTGACCAATTAGTAAAATTCTTTCTTTCGATTGGTCAATCAAACGCTGGGAAATTTTAGTATCAAGTAGACCTCTTTCTATGAATACGCAGTATGGACACTCCGTATTTCGGAGCCACTGTCACTGGCCGTTGGGATCCACCTCCGATCAGCTGATATTTCCGCACATTTGTTTTTCAGCTGACTCGTCCCCGGAAATCGGCGATTCGTGCGGGGTTAAAGGGGGAATGGAGCTCCGAACAACGGGACTTATCGTTGTTGGACTATACGAATTGTCGGCATTGTTCACTTGACGATCGTTTGCTCGACGCACAAACAGTATAGTACGACAGCAGCCTGAAGAAATTTATCTAATACGCTCGAACGTTGTTCTTCATCATCGTAATCAACAGAACAGCATCACATATTATATTCCTCTTCGTTGTATGCAACATGACTGTCCGGTATACTGTTAGTGATTTTCCGAGCATAAATTGAGCCACATCTAATCGAGCATAATCGCAATGGATAGCGTGATAGTGAGTAGACTAACCTCGTGGACCATGCGCGTTCCTATGTATTTTCATCCACCATAATCTTTGTTGGATAATCGGTATCTCTCTTAATAGATATCTCCTCTGTCACCATAAACAAATTAAAAATTTTCTTTCTTCTTGATAGAAATAATTTTTGTAAAATCATAACAATAAATTTAGATAAGCATTTTTTTGACAGAAGTTATTTAATTGTTATTTTTTTATTCAACTTTCACTGATTGATAACTGAGTTTTGAGTTAAAATTTTTTTTAACAAAGTCTACTCAGAATTAATTATACAACAAAATTTTTTGTTTCGTTTTAATTGCTTGTTATTTTGTTATTATCTAATTATGAAAATATGTGGCATTGGAAAGTAAAATTGTATTAATCATAATTTTGTAAAATCACAATATTTAATAAAATCATTATCAGAAGTTAATTCAAGATTATGATATTTCTAAATACATTTAAGATAATACATGTATTTTAACTCTTGTTATTGTATATAATTAAATTAATTTTTTATTTTCAGGGAATAATTTATGCAATATGTCGAGGCTTTGTAGACAGTTTGAAAGGTACCATTGTACTTTTTTACATGGATAAGCAAATTAATGAGAAATTGATTGAAAAAACTTCCAACCGAGCAGAGCTTAGGAAGAGAGATGTAGTTATGTCGAGTCCCTCCAAGCATAAGCAACGGTATCTTTATTATTTACAAGGAATGTTTATGAGAGACAATTTTAATAACAAAAATTTATTAGTCCATTCAATTTTAGGGAATCTAAGGTATTGAGAAGAACTCTACAATGTTGTGCATTGAATGGTGGAGTGTTTTGGGCTAGTATACTGATATTCGATTTTGGACTTCTGCCATTTGTTAAGTACTTATTGACTGTTATATTCGGCCATTCTCCTGGTATGGGTCTTACAGTATGGTCATGGATCCAACCATTTTTATCTCTTACATTTGGTACAATATGGGTGCTACCACTGTTCTTGCTCAGCAGAATAGTTAACAGTTTGTGGTTTCAGGTACAGTTTTTTATAAAATATAAAAAATGGTTTATTAAAACACTGAAAATTATATTGGTCTGCGATAAAAAATTGTTGTAACAATTGTAGTTATTTTTTAAATATATTTTTATTTGCTGAACATGAATTTATTTTTTAAATGTGGCAAATTTTTTCAAAATTGTGATCAAATTTGGAAAATGAATTTGGATTCATGTTTAATATCTAAAAAAACCTACAAGAAATAATTCCGTTCATTGATTCGTTCTGTCAATAACTCTAAAATGTATATTCGCAGACTAATGTTACCACATCTATGTATAACATAATACTAACAGTGCATTTGCAAATATATATAGGACATAGCCGATAGTGCTTACAGATATAGACAGGGGAGACCATTGCTTTTGTCAAGTGTAAGCAAGTTGATAGCTGACACGCTTTTTAGCGTATTAGTTCAAGCATTATTCTTGGGACAAGGAATGTTGGTGTCTAAAGTTCCACTTCCGCCATTAGGGGACATTCTTGCCCTTGTCCACATGTGCCTTTTATATGCTCTCTATGCCTTCGAATACAAATGGTTCAACATGGGTTGGGAATTGCATAGACGATTGACTTTTATCGAAGGCAATTGGCCATACTTTTTAGGCTTTGGTATGCCATTAGCAGTACTTACCCAAATGCCCAACTCGTACTTTGTAAGGTACAAAATAATTCCTACAATTGTTATCTTCTAAGTAACAATATCTTTAATGTTTAAAGATAGATGTCTATTTTTATTTAGCCAATTAAAAATCTCTTAGTAATTAAACTCCAAAAAAATTAATATTAAAACTTATTCAATTAATAATTTTTTTAAATTTTTTATCAGTAATACAAAAATGACGAATAGAATTTATATTCATTCAAACTGCGATAATTTTATAAAACCTATGAATTTATAAATAATTTTTTATTTTTTTAGTGGCTGTGTTTTTTCCATTTTATTTCCACTGTTTATTGTAAGTGGAAACGAAGCAGAACCTGTAACTGGAGTATGGTATATTTCTTTTATATTATAAAATATATATTTTATGATATTACTTATAATATTTAATTATGATTTAAATAATTGTTTCAGTGATTGCCAGCTGAAATTATTTTCTCCAGTAATTGCAATTGCAAATACGTTATTTAATAAAACTATCGGACGGGTCAATAAGCGGTGATAGTAAAAACAAAACGGAAGAATAAATGCCTAATTTATATTATTTGCATATTAGGATATGCATACCATTTACCAATTTGTTACAGAAAAGCTCATATGTGCATTAGTAATAATTATTTAAAATAATTATAAAAATATTTGGGTATCTATCATTCTTGCAGGAAATAATATTAATTTTATTATTTAGACAGATTACAAAGTGTTCAGGAAGAATGCAAGAGGGGTAAATTTATTTTTTTTATTAAATAAGATTATACAGTTAAACTATAAATTTTTTATATTTCTTTTTCTACTGATCGTTATGAAATATGAAAAGAATATTTAATCATTTTTTAATTGAAATGTAAGACCAATCAGTACAAATATTTATTTATGCATATGTAATAATGCATATATAGCTTAATTCGTACATACGATTTCCTGTATTTAATAATATCACTGATATACAAACGATATTACAAACCTGACTATATTTCTCAATTTTTATGAGAATTCATATTTCGAGCTTTTTATGCTGTAACTAGTCATTTTTCAATATCAATTTGAGATCTCTCATCGGCGCTGTGCTGTAAACGTATATTATAAGCATGTGCTGTAAAAATGATGCATTGTGTATGGCAGTTGATATATTTAAAAAATCTAGTGATGAAATAATCTTTATATAGAGTAGTTGAAATATTACTCCAACATTAAGGTAATTAATAATACAGTGCTACCATATATGATTTTTATATTCTTCCTTAGGAGTGTTGTATTTGAAAAAAATTTTTTTTAATTTAAGGGTACATTATAGATAAACGCCAATAGAAACATCTCGATTCTTAATCAATCTGTTGATTCTAATTATATATATATTGTGCCATACATATCAATTATATAGAGGATTCGTCCAAAAAATTCATGTAAAGTAAAAACGAACGAAAAATATCTATAACTATATGATAAATATTGCTAACAATACATGTAAGAATATTTCAATTTTGTATATGGTTAGGAAGGTGCACAAATGGTTACAGATTTGTCATATATTGATCATTTTATACATTACAATTTAAATAAATATAATAAA